GAACTCTTGCTCACCTTTAGATCCCCTATGGTGTCTCATAATAGTTACATTTAAGCTCCATTGCTAGACTCTACTAAGAATGAACCATGTGACTTTGAGTAAGTCATTAAACATGTTTGAGTCAATTTACTCATAAATAAAAAACATTTTTAAAAAGATTTATTTATTTATTTTAGAGTGAGAGAGCATGAGTGGGAAGTGCAGAGGGAGAGAATCTCAAGCAGACTCCATGCTGAGCATGGAGCCCAATGCAGGTCTCAATCCCACAACCTGGAGACCAGGACTCAGAGACCACCATCTGAGCTGAAACCAAGAGTCAGATGTTCAACTGACTGTGCCACCCAGGTGCCTCTCAAAAACATGTTCTAATTCAGCAGTCTTAATTTCAGATGGTTTAAATTATATATTTCTGGGCTTGTACAAGACTTGAAAGCACATACCAAAATTAAGATTTCTGCATAACCTTTATAAACCTAAAATTATGGCTACACTAACTGTTTTCACTGATAAATTCTTGTAATTATTTTCTGACTTATTCGGATCAATATAGAATGAGGTGGCTATTCCCATTCTGGCTATCATTGCTATACCAAGTATCAGTGATATAATCGGCTTCTCAACTTTTAATTAGTGTAGTATTATTTTTGTGTGTTTGGAAGGAATCGTTCATTTAATCATTTATTTCACGAATACTTATTAAGTGTCTATTAACCAGGCATTTTTCCAGGTGATGGGCTCTCGCATTTAGTGAATGGAAGAAGGGAGGGGAGAAAAGCCGGTGCCATTAAAGAAGATTTTTCCTATTTTTAAATGTTCTATACAATCTGTCTCTCCAGTTAGTAGAACATGAAGGTTTTAGACCACCCATATTATTCTAAGACTCAAGGAAACTCTCCCATGGTTAATGCTTCTTAAAAGCAAAAGAAAAATACCTACTTTTTCATTTGTCCAGATAATGTAGGGAGTGAGTGCAAAGTGCTTCCACTCAATCCTTCTAAAGATAATACACTGGAAACATTTTGGTGGGTGTGAATCATTCAGACAAGCATTCTTCACTCAAAAATAGAAACTAGCTTTATTTGTTCCAGATGTTATACAGCTGCAGGGAAGTTAAAGCCAGTGGTCCTGTTTTCAATGCAACCAAACTCTTATTGCATTTGGAATTTCTCAGCCAATGAACTCATATTACTCATTCTAAGATCTGCACAATTTTCTTTTTTCCACTGTTACCATTCACAAACAACTATGTTTCATGGGAACCACTTTTCAGAGTTAATGAGTCTACATCTGTGTTGTACAAAGGAAAGACATCCTGTTTATCACAGTTTCCACCTTTCGTTTATCTTGACCTTTTAAAATTTTAAGTGTAATATATATATATATATATATTTTAAAGATTTTACTCATTTATTTGAGAGAGAGAAAGTGCATGAGTGGGATGGGGAGCAGGGGAGAGGGAGAAGCAGGCTCCCCATTGAGCAGGGAGCCTGGCAGGGCTGGATTCCAGGATCTGATCATGACATGAGCCCAAAGCAGATGCCCAACCGACTGAGCCAACTGGGCACCCCAGTGTGAAATACTTCAAAGAGATTATGTGAAGGAAAGGAAAAGGAGAGTTGAGTTGTACTGTTCTTACAGTATTTGAGAGTACATTATGGTGTTATAAGTTATGGTGTTCATTTAAGGAAGAATTTCAAATAAAATTAATAAAAACATTAAGTAATTCTTATCATTGTGCATTTGTAATTTTAAAAACCTGACAGCTTATTTTTTTTATTCTTCTGTAGGTCTGTAAGAGATGCTGTACGGGTGCATGAAATATGAAAGGATCATGGCTCTTAGAAGAAGGTAAGTTATTATGTAGATGTACATGCTAATTTCATATCTAGCCCATAAAAATTAAAATATATGTGTTATATTTTGTCTGAGGTCAAATGTTTGAGAACACTTATGGTTTGAAAACAGAGTGCCAGATCTCTTGAGATTCTTGTCTTTGTAGGGAGAAGATTTTCGCCAATTGTGGTTCACAGATAATGTGTAGTAGAATCACACTGGCTGCTTGTGAAAATATGTACACCTGGGAGCAGTTGAGTCAGAATCTCTGAGAACTGGGGCTGTAGAGGGATCCTAGAGATCAGGAAACAGCAACAACACTCACATCTTCCATTTGTGAATGTGAAAACTCTGAGAAATTAGGTGAATTTCACCAGGCCACGCAGCCAGTTAATTGTAAAGTAAGGCATAGAATTTTGTTTATTGATGCTGAAACCAGCATTCTTTTCCAGTAGGTCAGCTATAAGTTTTTATCTTCAAAAACATAAAATTAAAAGAAAAATTAAATAAATATAAGTATCTAAGTAATATCAAGTGTCCTACCCAATGATTCTTTTATAATTAATTCTTTTACTGATTTTCCTCTCATCAGTAATTAACTAGATGCTTATTCTTTCTCCAGGATTTGGAAATACCTTTCCTTCAGAATCATCATGAATCTTTTGAATTGCAAATGAAATTATAATCAAAACCCTTCTCATCCCCTAGGGACACCTGGGTAACTCCATTCATTAAGCGTCTGACTTCGGCTCAGGTCATGATCCCAGGGTCCTGGGATCGAGTTCCGCATCGGGCTCCCTGCTCAGTGGGGAGTCTGCTTCTCCCTCTGCCCCTCCCCCTGCTCCTTCTCTCTCTCTCTCACTCAAATAAATAAATAAAATCTAAAAAAGAAAAAACTTCCTCCCCCAGAGAAGAAAATGTTATATTTCATGTATTGAAAATTAAATCTTTGAAGTCTCATGATTAATTATTTAGGAAGTGAGTGGTTTAGTAGTTATTTAAACCATGTTCAAGGAACAGTTTGTATTCAATAATGATTCCACAAAGACTATTAAAAACTGTAATTCATGACATACGTTCTTGAAGTATGTATATGCCATTAGTTAAAACAGAGCCCTACAGTAGTTTAAGTGTGGTATCGTTCAAAACTGATTCAAAAATTTATTTCACACCTCTTAATGAAGCCATTAATTATTTTATATCTTTAGCCTTCTAAAAGTCTCTGTGAATATAATTAAGTTTCCTGTACTTTGCCTCAATTTTGACACACATTTGTGAGGAAAGAGTCACCACTAGAGAAAAGGTGTGCTGATATTTATCAGTTCATAATAATTATGGACCAAATGATTTTCATGTTCAGTCCTTCATTTTACTAATGAGAAACCCGAGACCAATAAAAAACTAGGGTACTTTTTTTCTTAATTTTGTTTATTTAAGTAATCTCTACAACCCCACATGGGGCTTGAACTCACAATCCCAAGATCAAGAGTTGTATGCTCCTCCTACTGAGCCAGCCAGGTGCCCCAAGAGTAGTGTTCTTTTGAAGGAGATAATGTTGTGTCAGAAACTGCTAGTTGTCTACCCAAATTTCTTTCTCCCTTTTCCAGAACTTCTGATTTCAGTGAGGTGTATGACCACCTGAACAAAGATTATATTTCCCAGCCTTCCATGTAGATGGATATGGCCATGTGACTAAGCTCTTGCCATGGAATATAAGTGAACCTTTGTGTGGTAGTTTTTGGGAAACTTCCTTAAAAGGCACTGGGGCAGGGGTGTCCTTTGCACCATTTGAACTCCGTCCATGAATTCTGTTTGAAATGTGGTTGTTTGGGCTAGAGATCTGTTTTGGTCCAAGAGGATGAGGGCCATTTTGGCTTAGATGACTGTGGAGCTGCCATCCTAATTTTGGACTGACAACTGAGCCTCATACATGGGAAAGAAAGAAGCTTCTATTCTGTTAAGTCATTGTGTTGGAGTTGTATCTGATTGCAGACAACAATCCATTTCTTACCACAGAATTTCATTTATTCATTCTTTGAGCACGTAGTTTTGAGCAATTTTTCTGAGCAAGAAATTATACTAAGTGGATATGAAACAAAATCATTTTATCTTATTTTTTTAAATTTCTAAAAAGTTTTGGAAAAGTTTTTATAACCAGACTCTCATTTTCCTTTGGTCCATCCTTGTCTCTATCCCAGGCATATCATAAAATTCCTATTTCTTTCACTGTGAAGGAATACTTTTCTTGACTTGGATTTTAGACTGTTGTTGTGATATGAGTAACATGTTTTCCAAGAGTTAAAAAAAAATGCCTAAACAACTCAAGCACATATTACTTTAAGTAAAGTTTTAACCTTTACCCCTAAACATACAAGTCATGATTAAAAGTCATGATGCAAACACAGTCATTGAAAATATGTAAGAGGTAAATATTTGTCCTTGAACAAATTCAAAATATCATGGGACATGTCTTTAAAATATTTAAATAAAATGTATTTTCTAAGTTAACACTTAGAAATACACTAAAGGTAATATTATTTTCAGTGTTAGTCACATATAAAAAGGGATGTTAGAATTCTGGGAACATTTGTGAGGTGAGAGTCTCTCTTCTGTAAATGATTTATCTTCCCCTTAAGAGCAAAAAGTACCAGACATCCCCAGGATCAGAGCACACAAATGCATTGCTCACTGGCTCCCTGATCTAATTTGCTGGTAGGCTTGGAGAAGCAGTCTCACTTGTAAGTTCTATTTAAATTCCCCACAAACTCTTTCTTACTGATTTCTTTTTTATTTTTTTTTTAAGATTTTATTTATTTGACAGAGAGAGACACAATGAGAGAGGGAACACAAGCAGGGGGAGTGGGAGAGGGAGAAGCAGACTTTCCGCGGAGCAGGGAGCCTGATGTGGGGCTCGATCCCAGGACCCTGGGACCATGACCTGAGCCGAAGGCAGACGCTTAACGACGGAGCCACCCAGGCGCCCCTTCCCTATTGATTTCTGATAATTGATTAAGTTTGGAGTTCTTTTTCTTTAAGAAAATGTTTCAACACAGTCTTTTATTTCTAGATTTAAATACTGAAGAGTGTCAAATATTTAACAGATTTTTTAATAATGGAAGAAATACAATAAAATTAGGTGTGATATATAAATGTAAAAACAGTCTTACCTTTGGATCTACATTGAGAATTTTTCTGTCTCTTTTGTATTTGAAAAGTAAGCCTTCTGGATTATCAGCAATCACTTGATAATTGGGAGTTGAATTCCAAACAGCAATATGACTGTCCCAGTTGTAAAAGCTAGAAAAATAAATATTTATTAGAAATTAATATGTATGATAAAATAAATTGACAAATATATTTCAGAAAATATTTGGAGCAGTTCAGTTTCAAGATAAATGAATTGGATCATAGTCTGTATAACCATGTAAGACACATGTGTGATTAAAATTCTTGCAGAAGAGATTAGACTGGGTTTTTCTCAAATTATTTAAATACATATTTATGACGATTTTACATAATTTCCTGGTTTGGACACTTTATGAACTAGGCCCTAGTCCAGTATTATATTCCCCAGGAACTCAAGAAGAAAATTGATGCAATTTGAAGCTATTTCTTCTAGCTCAGATTCTTCAGGGTCTTAAGAGTATTCAGGGTATTAAGAGACTGTTTACTAGAAGGAAAGGCAGGCTAAGTCACCTCTTTTCATTCAAAACAATTTAATTCATTTCTTTCAGGCTTTATTTTTCAATAATATGTTTCCCAGGGAGTGAGGAAACTATGTGAGTGTGAGAGGTTACCATAGGCCAGGCATGATGTGATGTTTTCTAGCACTACACCCATATGAAGTTCTCATTTCACAGACCAGGCAAGTAGGCTAGGGAGGTCAAATGACATGGATAAGGCCCTGCAACTAGTATGTCTTAGGACTAATATTTCAACCCAGATCTGTGCGTTTCAAGGCACAAGTGTGTTCTTCCTACTGTTCAACATTGCCTGCATTTTATCTTTTTTTTTTTTTTCGGTTGATCTGTGGAAACTTCTTATTTTTTCCATGTCTGGCTTTATACCTACTTGTCAAAAATTAATATAATACCATAATATGAGTTGTAAGAATTCTCAATATATTAATTTCACATATCTTATTCTTATTAGCACATTTCTAATATCATGTTAATATGTTCAAGTATTAACGTGTTTCTAATATGTCTAATATCCTATTTCTGGGTTGTTTTGTACTTTTTTATTCCCCTTATTCATTTTTAAAGAGTAGATTTCATTGATTAAACTCACTTTGAATTATAGTGTTTTCTGAGGCATCAATTTTTATGCTATTACCTGAAAATGTAATGTTTACCCTCAAATTTTTCAACACTTAGAAAAAGCTCACTACATCAATCATATATTTATATCACTGGGGACATATTAATGAGAGCTATTTTCTCTCTTCCCCTACTATTTGTTCTATGGCCAAGACATAGGAATATCTGCCCTTTCTGAGGCACAGAGTTAGGAAAAGTGGTTTTCTAACCACCTTTGTTTGTTGAGTATGTCCTCCCCAAGAGAGCAGGAATGACTATTTGGTGAATAGAGGAAAGGAGCTGAGCATTTCATGGCTTTCTAGGTCCTTACTTTAGCTAGCCTTCAAAAGTGGAGTTTATCATGGCAGGCTTAGCCCCCAATAGGGTGATGGTAAGGTAGCAGTCTATAGCACTGGTGATAAATTCAATTCAGTAGCGAAGGTATTAGGAGCCAATCTGACTGTGTACCCAAGCTTTTTCTCAAATTCACTTTAATCCATAAAAGAAAGATAATTTGACCTCCATCTTACTGGTTGTTCAGTTAAAACATTGCTAAGTTGGAATGAGGGACAATGGGTGTGATTCTAACCATAATTATTTATATGTCTCTCTAAATAATTATTTATGAGATATATAGATACAGATAATCCCAGTAAAATGCTTGAGTCATAGCATAGCTGTGCTTAGAGAGGCATGATTTATATCACACATTCTTATCTTGTTACTCATCTCAAATTAAAAAGCCTCATTAAAGTCCAGGCAGGGGGGAAAAAAAAAATATATATATATACATACACACTCTTTACATAAAAATGTAAATTTGTATAGCATGTGGTATTTTTGATGAACAATTTATTTTTTTTAATTTTTAAAGATTTTATTTATTTATTTGACAGATAGAGACATAGAGAGAGAGGGAACACAAGCAGGGGGAGTGGGAGAGGAAAAAGCAGGCTTCCTGCCGAACAGGGAGCCCGATGTGGGGCTCGATCCCAGGACCCTGGGACCATGACCTGAGCCGAAGGCAGACGCTCAATGACTGAGCCACCAAGGTGCCCCCTTTTGATGAACAATTTAGATTGTTTATCAATACTTTTGTTCTAGGCAAGGATGGGAAACAGCTTTCATTTCACATGTCAATTCTAAGAGCTGGTAATTATTAGTATTTAATAAGGACAACTGACAATAATTATCATGTGCTGGGTACTGTACTGAACCTAATGAATATATTATCTCATTTAATCCTATCATGAACCCCATGAAATAGGTACAAAATGATCAAATTTTATATATGCAGAGCCCAGGTGATCCTAATGTGTACTTGTAGATGAAAATGAGGAACTGGATTTGAAAGATACTAAAAAGTGGATTTGATGTTATGAGGGGGATGTCAAGAAGAGGAGATCCTAGGATTATTCTCAGATTTCTGGTGTGGATTCTGAAGTGGACAGAATTATTTACCAGAACATAAAATACAAAAGAAGGAAGGAGTTGGGGGGAAGAGGGATGTTCAGTTTTGGACATGTTGAACTTGAAATCCCCGTGAAACATCTAACTTCTATTGAATTTTTATTGTCTATTAGTATTCTTTGTTAGTTCATCTACATTACTGTTTTACCTTATTGAGGCCTTGAGTTCCTTGGCTCACCCTCATCCTAATTTACAATTGATTTCTTTCTTCTTTATTTACCCATGATTCACAAGATACTTGCCAGTAGTCACAACTTTATTGCTCATTTGACCCTATTTATATTGAAAAATACCAGCTCAAAATTGATTCAAATATTTGTTGTCTCCGTTCCTCTCTATGGTCTCTGGCAACTCTTGCTGAAACAACTGTACCACTGATATAATTCTAAGTTCCAAATCTCTAACCTCAGTTGGATTTCAAGCACTACAGAGCAATTTTTTACATGTCTCTAGTTATCTTCTTTGTCGTTCATTGTATTGTTCATGCCTCCTATTCCTCCACTTTCCTCCTTAGTCTCAGAAGATGACTTTACCTCTTACTTTATTAAGAAAATAAAGGACACTAAATGGAAACTAATTATCAATATCTTGTTCCATCAGTAGCAAATTTGTTTATATTGACAATGTCTCTTACCTCCTTCCAGTCAACTCAGAGGAATAGGTGCCCCTTTTCTTTTCCAAGAAAACATACATATCCATGTATGTTCTAAATTCCATCCCTTATTGCCTCTTTAGTTACTTCAAATAATCATCTAAAATTTTCCTGATATAATCAAATTCATCTCACCATAAATTTTTCCCCAGGACCAACAAATGCATAGCAACAATCCCAACTAAACAAAGAAGAGAAAAGAAAGAATGGAGGAAGGAAAGGAGGGAGGGAAGGAAGGGAGGAAGGAAGGAAAGAAAGAAAGAAAGAAAGAAAGAAAGAAAGAAAGAAAGAAAGAAGAAAGAAAGAAAGAAAGGAAGAAAAAAAGAAAGAAAGGAAGGAAGGAAGGAAGGAAGGAAGGAAGAAAGAAAAGAAAGGGAAGGAAAGGAAAAGAAGAAAGAAGAAAAGAAGTAGAAAGAAAGGAATAAGAAAGAGAAAGGGAAGATGAGAAAAGAGATTTCAAAACTTACCCCAAATCAGATTTTCTCCAGGCTGTCACATTTTTCTCCTAATACATTATAACTAAACCCATCTTCTCTGTGCCAATTTGCCCCATCCCCTGCCCTCCCTCTCAGTTCTCTCACCTGAGCTGATAATCCACATTACCTGCTTAATTGTACTTACTGGCATAAACCATAGACTCCTCTATCTCAAATACCAAAAAATAAATTTTCCTTTCCCACCCTCCAAACCTATTTATCCTTGCTGTACTCTCTATATGAATAAGTGGCACTCAATAAAGGCTTATTGATTAAATAAATGATCTTTACCCATCTCTACTATTATTATTTATAACCCAATTAATATTATTTTCAGTTATTAAGAATTAAAACAAAGAAGATGCAAGAAAAATTATTTTAAGAGGAAATTAAAGAATTGATCTAGAACATTGATCCAGGACTTAGGAAATCTAAACCCTGATGCAATGATTTCAATTTACTCCTATGTGAAGTTCAGAAGTTGAACTACATATTTCAAAGGCTCTTTATAATAATAATATTCTATGATTATAAAAGCCTCTTTTGAGTCAGTGAGTTCTTACACATTATTTTGATTTATGTCTCAGTGTTCACAACTTGAAAATACTTATAGAAAAGTTTAAACATACTGTATTTCTAACAGATAGAAGAACTTATGAGGTAATTTATGTACAATTATTTAAGCTTTTGGAATAAAAGAACAATTATCCATTTATTCCCTATGATAAACAACCTGGAAATTGGACATTGAGTGTACTTATGAGTGTACTTATACACAACTTATATAAATAAGTTGTAACAATAAAATGAAATCTGTGGAAAGTCTGTTCATTAAGTGATAAGGGGATCTCATGTATGTTTTTGGAAACAATTACCTGTTCGTCATTTATTTTACATGATAATTGTTGATACCAGAGAAAATATTCTGATGACATCACAGGGCAACAGAGCTTTGGACCACCAGGGGGAGTAAATTTCAAAGCCATTCTCCAGAATCCCTTATTTGGCCTCGTTTTGCTCACTACCTTCCTTCAAATGGAATGGAAGAGACATACTTACAGAAATTATGAAAGCATAAAATGGAGAATGTTATTAAAGATTTGAAAAATGCAAATAAAAATACATCTAAAGGCAAACTAAGGTCTTAGGGTGAAAATAAAATAAACATAATGATTGTTCAGTCACCAGTATATAAAGCATAGAGAAAAAATGAAATCACTACCACGTAAACATGAAATTTGACATCACAGAGAACACATCACTGGAATTGAAGCTATTATCATCTAAGGGATTTTCCCCATGAATACAATCGACAATATATAATAACTAGGAAGGAATTTTGTTCCTATCTCTATTAATAATGAAATCTTTTTAGGTTTTATACAGTTGGACCAGTAGGCT